ATAAAGTCGGTGGCAGTGCAAACTCAGTCGGCGATGAACAGGCGACTGAGGCATCTGACTCGACCTACAATTCGGGAGCAGAATCTGAGCTTGACGTAGGAGGAGCTCCATCTCCTCTTGACCGTTCTACCATGTCATCCACCCCGTTGAACAACTGCCCTGAAGATGATGAGGATGGGGATGAAGAGGAGGAAGAGGAGGAGGAGGCAGAAGAGGAGGAGGAAGAAGACAAAGATGGTGATGAGGAAGAGGAAGTTGTCGAAGCAGAAGCTGAAAAAAGTCTGAATAACCACAGCTCTAATGGTAGAAAGCGAAAGTTGAGTCAACCAAACCAAAAAGTCAATTGTGACTCAGACAGTGATGATGAATTGGTAGTCGAGGAAGATCATGCACCCTCTGATGAGGATGATGAAGAAGAGACCTTACCGAAGAAGGCTAAACTGAATGGCTCCTCCTGATCAGCGTATCTTTTTACCGAAACCATTAATTAATTTATATACTAGTAGGCTTACTCTATCTCTTTTTCAACTCACCATTCAGCACTTTCTAGTCACAAGTTGTTATATTTATCACCTGACTATCTCCTCGTTCATCAGCTGCCTAACCAAAGCAACTAATGAGCATCTTGAACTATGCTCACATACGTTCTTATTCTCCTACCATCAAAACATACGTTTCTTTTCATTTCTCTGCACATATAGCTCACTGTATCATAATGAGTTTTCTTAGGCTCTTGTAATAATAGTATTTTTGAGGCAAACACCCACATTTACACTACAACAAACACTTCCTTTGATTAGTTTGCATTGAAAGCACCCGCAATCACTCACGAATCATTCCATAGTTTTAGCAACTACTTATTATTTACACCACCACTTGGTACTGTAGGAAAGGCAATGTTTGCACCTGTACAGTTGTCACATACCCCACATATCTGTGTCGCACTCCTATCTCAATTTCTCTGTACTTTTCGGTTCTTCTCAACTGTATCTTTGATCTATTCGTTTGGTTCCTTTGGTTTGTTGCAGTGTGTACACTCAAAGCCAGCTTTGTTGTTGGTGATTGGCGCACCACCAAAGTGGCGCTGTCTTTTGTCTTTAGTGTTTTATTCCTTTGTTTTTATTATTTTCGCTTTGTACATTAAATAATAAAAAATTTGCAATTACATTTTGTTCAACTTGAAATTGAAGATTTGTTGTGAAATGCCCTGTAAAGTGTGGCCACGTACGTCATGATACTTTTCTCATCTAAACACTCACTGCAAAAATCATCCGCATTGAGAAGCTTATCAACGCCAGACTTTTCCCCTAAAGTGAAAGCTTTTTCCAGCGTATCTGTTGCAGTCATGTTATCTATGAGGACTTCAAACACCAGCTCTGGGCGATAATGTCGAATGATGGCCATAAATGCTTTGCCGTCTTTCCAGCTGTAAGTAAAATCTTTAATATCAACGTTTGAACTCTCTGTTGAAGCTGTTCGAGCCCACTGCAAAAGAGTTTCTTTGTTCTCTATACAGTAGTGCATGATAATTTGCCAAATTACACTCAGTAAAAGTTTTTCGTTACCGTCGACAATATCTTCAGCACGAATATTAATTAGTTTTACCTTTTCTTCTTCTAGAAAAGTGAGCACTTTTTGAACATTGGCCAGGCGGTGCAAGCGCATTTTCCCCTTTTCTGGTTTGATTTTCACTCCTGAAAGAACCACCAAGAGCGCAATCAGTGTGACACCATCTTGAAGGTCACTCAGGTCGGCGATGTGAAGATTGATTTGATTCAGCTGAGAATTGATCCAACGTGTGAATGTTTTCTTCTGCACTGTTTGGTGTTCATTGAGTTTAGCAATATGGCTACGCGGAAACCGGTACCAGTCCATGACTGCTAACAAGCAACTGATGCTCAACTGTTGTGTAGTCTGACTGAGTGCTGATACACTGCCCTATCACTTCACTGTTTACTTTTCGCTGTGTAACACTTATGACAAATTGCTAGACTCTCGTATAAGCTGACATTTTTATCATACTGCCAACTCTTGACATTTGCTTGCGGTGATTGCCATAAAAACTACACAAGACTTGAATTGACGATTGACAGCTACTTAGTATTAAAACTTACGTGTCGCCAAGGCATGTGTCACTATTGTAGAAAACATACAAATGTAGAAATCAGAAAGGTCAGCACAATAACCTTTGAATCAACAAGACATAAAAGGCTAAAACCCGATTTTTTAAATAAAAAGTTACAAAAAAATTTGGTGGATTTATTCATCTTGCTAATCTTGACAAAGTGTTTAAAGTGCAAGAACAAGTTGCAATTGAAATGAAATTGAAATAAAAAAAGCTACTTTCAGTAGTAGTAGAAGTGGTATAAAAGAAGAAAAAGATAATGAATCCAAAGAGTGGTTCAAAGTTGAAAATGTAAAGCCTAGTGGTCATTTTGTTGCGCTGATTTGTACTTAAAAGTGTGTCTGTTTATTTGTGTAAACTCTGTATTTGTCTTTGCGATGGATGACCTAAAAGACCAAAAAGTGGACAAAGTGTTTCTCTGCACAACTCCAGCAAAGGTAAAAAATTGTTTTTTGTTTCGCGCGCAAGGGATTCAATTTTTCATTTTGTTGCGCTGCCAAGTTGCGCCGTCTACGAGAACAGAACAAGAACAAGAGCAAGAAACACAGCAGCCGCAGCACTCTTTTCCGCTGTTTGTTTTGATCTTGAATTGCGCTCAACTTTCTTCAACTTTCTGATCCTTTCAATTTTTGAAGAAAATCTTTTCGCCAGAATATTCTGGTTCAGCTATTTAGTAAATGATTGTCGGCGAAGAGTTGCAGCTGCTGTTGCCGCTGGAAACTCCTGAAGATGACGAGGATGACGATGAGGACGCTGAAGATGAGAATCTGTTTGTTGATGATGAAATGAAGCCGTTGGCAATCTCCAAGCAAAGATGATGGTGAACATGATGATTTGTCTCATTGTTTTGGTCTGTTTTAATCGCTGCCTCCTTTTCCTTTCTATCATTCAAATGATTATTACTAACCTCCATCTCCCTCTTTTGCAGATCTTCCATGTCTTCGTAGACCGTCTTTTTTTCCGCTGCCTTTGCCGCCGCCCTCGCCGCCGCCAAAGAAATGGCCCTATTCGAAATAAAACCTCGCCAGCTATGCCGCTTCCTCAGATGCTCCTTCAAGTGATCCTTTCGGCTCAGGCGCTTCCTACAAAGCGGACACTGGAAGGCTCCCGCGGCGGAAGGCGTTCGAACTGGCCCCAAATGTTCTGAATTCGGCGATTTCAAATCTAAACTCATCAACAGCAGTTGCGGAACATCAGCGTGAACGGTGGCTCGATGTCGGTCAAGTTTATATCGATCTCGAAGCACTCGACTGCAAATAGAGCAGACAAACTTCGAGGGGCGGTGGCCCTCGGTGTCTTCGTGATCGGCGCGTTCCTCGCGGCTGGTGAAGCGAAGGCGGCAGCCGGCGCATTTGAAGGTGAGTTTTGCCGTTATCGTTAACGGCAGCGGAAGCGTTGAGGTTCTATTTGGCAAGGAAGCGGTTCTATTCTGATCCTTTTTATTTTCACTTTTAGGAATCTCATCATTTCTTCCAGCTAAAGGAGGCACTTCTCTTGAGATCGGTTCATTAATATCATTATCATCAACAACTTTCATTTCCTCCTCTTCTTCCTCGTCATTAAGCTCAGTCAAGTTTGGCTGCTCAGCGTTTGTCTTTGAACTCCTAAGCTGCTGCCTTTTCTTCTCTGCCCGCCGCTTTTTTGCCTCAAAGATCTTCTTGATGCAGAAGAAGCAAGGAAAGGGGAGTTGCGTTGTCTCTAGACCCTTTTTATTCACCTTCTCAGCTTTATCATCATCATCATCATCATCATCATTTTGAAGTTTTCGAACAAGATGCCACTGACAGCGGTAGTGAAAAGCCTGCCCACACAGTGAACAGCGGTAGGCGGTGCTGAGGAGAAACGGATCGAGTGCTCGATCGGGACTTTTCTCTTCGTGAGATGAAGTTTCTTCATCAACATCAGTCTCGACATCATCAGTCGACTGTTGACTCCGTTGTTCACTGTACATTGCCCAGAGGAAGCTTTCCGTCTGCTGCAGGCGGTGGCTGTCATTTTCGTGCCGGTGCAGGTCACTTTTGGTGGCCGCCACCACCTCACAGCGAGCACACTTGAACCGATTTGTTGGGGGTGAAGATTCTGAAGTAGATAGTACCGGCGAGGATGATGAATTAGAAGACGATGCTGCTGCTAATGAAGATGATGGCGAGAAAGGAGAATCCTTGTCCCCATTTTCTCCCGTCTTCTTTTCCTCCTCCTTGGTATGCCTGCATATGACATGCTCCGCTAGGGAGTGGCTCTCTGCAAAGGAGAGTGAACAGAGCCGACAGGCGAATGGCAAAAGCTGCGATGGTGGTGATGAAGATGAGGATGAAGATAATAACGATAAAGATGGTGAGGGTGATGGGGACGATGAAGAAGATGAGGATGATGATGACAAAGACAACAACTGAAGCGGCGGTTCCATTCAAGAATTCAAGAATTGAGTTAAGAACATTGAGGATGATAAATCAAATGCACAGAAAGCGGAAAACCAGAACACAGCCAACAACATGAGGTGGATCGAGGGAAGAAAGTACACGTTGACTGAGAACAAAATAAAAAAGTCGACGGAAGGTCAAGTTGACAGTGGTCAAGTCACGTCAGAGATCGACGGGTAAATAATCTCTAAGTCCTAGCGTTTTGGCTTGCCAGCACTTTTCCATCTGTTTGGAGTTTAGCAGAAGTGCCCTCTTTTATAATAAAATAAAACTACAATGCAAAACATTGATCAACTCAAACACGAATACTACTGAATTCAATATTTCCCATTGAGGTTTTTGGCATATTAGCCAGGTTACCGAAAGTTATGCACATGATACTTGTGGCAATAACTCGTAAACAACTCTTTGTTCATCGTTCTATTTTATCGCTTGTGCCGCCTTTATTGTCAGGAATGTCTCAGCATCGTCGTTCGTCTGATTTCACAAAGTTCCGTGAATTGTTTGAAAACAGCAAACGCATCGTAGCTTTAACGGGAGCAGGAGTCAGCGCTGAATGTGGGGTGCCAACCTTCCGCGGACCGGGAGGCTTCTGGAGAGCCTATCAGGCGACATCTTTGGCAACACCGCAAGCCTTTGCCGCTGATCCCTCACTGGTTTGGCAGTTTTATGAGTACCGAAGACAACTGGTCGCAACAAAGTTTGTAGATTTTTCAGAGTTTTAAAATCCCTTTCTAATTGAAATTTAATTATTTTTAGACTTCCGAATAACGCACATAAAACATTAGCATACATTGAAAGACAATTTGAAGGCAGTGATCGTAAGCTCTCAATTGTAACTCAAAATGTTGATGAACTTCATCGACGAGCTGGCTCAAAAAACGTTCTTGAAATTCATGGAAGGTTATTCCAAATTCGCTGCACAAAATGTCATACTGTAGAAGACAATACTGATAATCCAATTGTACCGGCACTGGCAAATGTTTCTCCAATCGACAATGACGAGACAAAAAACAAGAAAATAAAAATTGAAGATTTACCTCATTGCAAAGTTCCCAGTTGTAAAGCTCTGCAACGACCTCACATAGTCTGGTTTAACGAGTCGTTAGATCCTCAAGTTTTAGAAGAAGCCGATCGATTGCTCAGCGAGTGCGATATGCTACTCGTGGTTTGTTCCTAACTTTGATGATACTCTCAATCATTTGGTTTTAAACAATGCCATATTTGCGCAGATTGGAACTTCCTCGATCGTTTATCCTGCAGCCATGTTTGCACCTCAAGTTGCTGCTCGTGGCGTCACTGTTGCTGAATTTAACCTTGAACCAACATCAGCTAGTAGAACAAACGGGTAAGTTCATTCAGTTTTTCCACTCATTTTATGTCGGTTTTATACTAATGCACCAGATCTAGGTACTTTTTTGAAGGTCCATGCGGACAAACCTTGCCGCGAGCACTAGGCGTCGATGAAAACAAATTATAAAGCAGAAAATACAAGCAAGTTTTAACTTATCAAATAATAATAATATTTTTTATTAATCTGTATTGTTAATATTCCGATGAGAATAATGATGAAGAATCAAATAAAAATATACAAAGGGATGAAACAAATGAAAACATATTACACAGAAATGAGGAAGGAAAGAAAATTATACAAAAGAAAAGTGAACAAAAGATAGTACAACGGTGAAGGGGTGGAAAGGTGCAAAGAGATGTGAATGAGATAGAGAGAGCCTCAATTTCGAGTTCTTAGCGAGCTTGTTAAACTCACTGATAAGGTTTTGTTGTCTTGATAATAAGTTGCATAACATTTGACAATAATGACTATATATATTCAATATATAATAAAAGATTAGTTGTGCTCCAGAGGCAACTGGCTCTCGTTGGTGCCTCTTGTAGGGTGAAAGGATGAGAAGATCAAATGGATAATAAATCTATGAAATGGACAATGGGGATATAGTTTCTATGTGTTTCAGAAGTTAGAGGGCAGGGAGTGATCAAGGGATTCGATTGCGAAGTGGTAGTAGCTATACAGCGATCAATAAGATGACGAAAAGAAGTAAGATGAAAGCAGCTTTTCAGCTGAGAAATGGTGCAGAGGAAAGATATAAATTGAACCTCGAACTTGACGGTTACGCGACTGAAGATGAGAATTTTAATAACGATTTTTAGAAGAACTTTTGGATGGATTCATTAAGTTGAATTAGCGTAGTGTTCCATGAGTGGCTGGGCAGGATCGGAAAATGAGGGCGAATGTTGGGGTGGTGATAGTGTGAGAGTAAGTGAAATAAGGAGAACAAAAAAGATAACGTGACATAACAAAAGTAGATAAGGAATAAACAAAGAAAGTAACGGAAGCTGTATAGAATGATGGGAAATGGTGATCAAGATGAAATGATTAAATCAGGTATAGGGCGTTCTCAAGTTGACTCCTCTGCAGCGTCATCAGAGATTATCTGTGTGCTAGCCGAAGTGGAATCATCACCGTATTACGCATTCAGGGAGAGATTGTTTAGGTGTTTGTGTGTGAGATAGGAAACGACTGTGTTGTAGTTGAAATTATGCGCAATTATGAGATGAAAAAAATATATATAAAGAGTGGGTGACGAGCTAACTGATCAAATCAGCTAAAATGTAGAAAAATCGAGTAAATTTTGTATGTCCGTTCGTAATCAACATGTCTGGCGGTTCGGCTGACAAGCTTGAGGGTGTGGAAAAATAGTGTTTCAGAAGAAATAGAGCTTTCATTTTCCAATGTCATTTCATTTGTGATATCACGCGAGATTGCATTCATAATCATCTGGTGCAGTGCTCTTTATGTCCAATGACTTCTTGATCCATTGCCTTTCAGATGTGTGTGTGTATGTGAGAGTAAGAATGGATGAGGAATAAGAGAGTGGTATGTACAGAACAGAGGAATTGAACAACGGCAACAGCAAAACAAAAACGAGGAGAGTGAACTCGGCAACAATGAGTTTGATTTTACCGGGTGAGAAGTGGGTGGTGTGTTCGGGTGTTCCCAAGAGAATCAAGTGATGAGAGTTGTTAGCTGAGAAAGCCTAGAAGTCTTCCATGAACTCAGCTTTCAGTGATTGCAGTGTCGTCGTGGGCGTCCTTGGCGAGCCGAGACCGGCCAGTGCCTGGCTTGGAGGCTCAACTGTGTGGTGACAGAAAAGACAGAGGTGACTTGGGCGTCCAGAGACCAGTGCTGGGGAGAGTCGTACCTTTAATGCCCGCGTACAGTGCCGACAGCTTCGGGGAGGCCATTGCGGCTACGGCACTGCCGTAGAGGCCACCTGTGGCGCCGTTCATTGCCTGCGACAGTTGCAGACTCGACTGCAGGTGATTGTGGTTGGCGTCAGGTCCGTTTGACAGCTGCCCTGACGACTGACTGTTGATGTCGATGATGTCCTTGGGCACGTCCACAAACTGATACACCAGCCTCTGGCCGTCCACTTTGGCGAGAATGCCTCGCTGGTAATAGTACCTACATTTCAAGTGAAAAGGGGGTTTGATGTTAGCAATCTGCGGGTTCACAAACTAAACAGTTTCTCGTTTTACCTCAAAGCTCGACCCATCGTTTCGTAATTCATGTCAGGCTTGTTCTTGTGCAAGCCCCATAGTCTAGAGACGGCTTTCGAATCGACCAGCTTGAAGATGCCTAAACAATGGAAAGGAGTAAGACGTTAGAAGATGTCACATGTCGATAAGATGTTCACATTTTCGCTTGACCTACCTTTCTCGCGGTTAGTCCACTTAATCACTTTGGGATTGAACTGACTCTGATTTAGTAGTTTCAGGAGGAACTCCCAGAGATATGTTGTTGAGCCTGTGAATAAATAGATTTAGGTTAGATAAAGCCGAAGATAGATACGTGGAGTCACAGTTTTTAACAAATGTTTGCATATATCTTTTGTTGTTGATAAAAAACTGTAACTGAGGTAAATGAAAACGTACTTTCTCGACTCTTTCGCTTGCCGACACCGCCATTGCCAGTGCCATTTGATCCGTTTGCGCCGACTGAGCCATTGGCACCATCCAGTCCCTTGGGCTTACGACCCTTCTTTCGCTTAGGCAGGCCTGGTTGGCCGTTCTGCGACACCGAACCATTCATTCCCGGACTGGCTTGGGCACCTCCTACACCAGCAGATACGTGGTGATATGACAAGTCTTCGGCTGATGACATGTTCAAGGGTAGGAGCAAGTCTAGAAAGGGGGAAAAAGGGAAATGCTTAGCAAAGTCTGGATCTGGAAGAGCGGGGAAGAAGCAGAACATGCCTTTGCGATCACTGTAGCCATTGCCGGCGTGACTGTAGAATGACTCCACTCGGGCCCGCTGTTGGCCAATCTGCGAGAGGTGCAGTGCACCATTCTGCTGCGCCTGCAGTGCACTGATCAGCTGGTGCTGACTAGCGCTGTGGTGGCCAGCAGTGAGGGCGTGCTGAAGTGGACTGCCATTCGTCGTCGCCTGACTCGATGAAGTGGGTGACTGTTGCTCATGTTGCTGATGCTGCTGCTGCTGCTGTTGCTGCTGCTGCTGTTGTTGTTGGGCCACCAGAGCGAATCCACTAAGCTGAGCATTTGCTTGTGCGTTCAAGGACTGCGCTTGCGTTCGAGGACTGAGATGGTGCACGCCATTCAGGTGCTGGTGGTGTAGTGCTTGCTGGGCATATCGTTGCTGTTGCAAGTGGTGCAGATCAGAGTTTGAGTCTATATTGTGAAAACGGAAAAAAGTGTGTGGTTAGTTGTTTGTCCGGTAATTAGAATAAGTTTTTAAAGAAAAGCAAAAGTTTAACCGGGGATTTTATCCTACATAGCAATTCAGTTTTGTATATGAGTATTTCTCGATAATTCCGCCAAGAAGGCACGTTCTAGATGCGATTAGAATGCAGCTATGTTGCAATCAAATGCCATTTCGTGAAGGCGAATTAATCGGGGTAGGTCTCTGTGTTTCACCGACACACACCATTTCGGGGAATTTCAGTGTCACCCATTTGGGAAGTCAGTGTGCCAGTGAAATCCCGCCAATTATGGATCAAATGGCAAAAGATACGCTGGAAGATAGAGGTAGTGGTAGTACGACAAGAGTACTGTACCAGATAAACGAGAAGCACTTTGGCTGGCAGTTCTCCTATTGCACCAGAAAAGCAGTGCCGAGAAGGAAAGAGCATAAGAGCGTAGAGGGGGATCAAGAGTTCGTTGAGCTTTGGGTTGTCATAGTGACGACGCCAACGCGTCTGACAAAAAATACCTCTGTGTGCCTAATGCAATCAGCAGGGGAGCAGAAGCAGGGGCGCGGGAGGACAGGGGCTGGCCGAGGGAGGACAGAGGCAGAAGGAAGGCGCCAGGAGAGGAGAGAGCCAGCCATCGACTGATTGGCTCTGGCCAATGTAAGCCAAGCCAATTTCAAACATCACTCGGACAATCAGCACAAGGGAAAATTGGGAAAGGAAAGTAACCGGCACCGAGCTAATCACTAGCAATTGAAGCCATAATCAATCTAATTGAGATAACAGTCAGAGACTGAACGTGCAGTGAGAGGAAAAGAGGGAGATCTCCGGGCCTCTCGGAGCTGGCTGCCAACTTGCCACCAAACTTGACTGCTTAGGTTACTCCTGATAAGAGCACTAGCAACAGCTGAACAGTGGTGTGACAAACAACAACAGTCTAGTGCCGATCGATGGCACACTAATGCCTAATGTCTAATGGCAGAGTTTCATTTCAGTGCCTGCTACTCATTATTAGCTGGCCAGTGAAACCCCTTTTGGAAGAGCGGCCGTATATATATCCTCTTATCGACTGCTGACAAATTGGTCCCACTGAGCCTGTTTATTTACTAGACCATCTTCAGCGGCTTTACTAAACCGAATCTTAGCTAGCCATCTCTTTCTTTCCTTCTTTCTCTCCTATCCTGTCAGTAGCCTGCACCGTCTGGCGAGCCTTGTGGCAGTCTGTTACATAACTTGTAATTTGTATTATGTCTCGCTCTGTGCCTCAATCGTCCCATCCGTGAGCGTTTGCCGAACAATGGAGCACAAAGAGGAAAAAGAAGAAGAAGAAGAAAAAGAAGTGGAGGAGCGACCCGGCGAGGAGAACAAAGAGCAGATCGACATCAGCAACGACTGCTGTGTTGTTTCTGTTGATGCTGTTGCCGCTGCTNAAAGAAAAAGAAGAAGAAGAAGAAGAAGTGGAGGAGCGACCCGGCGAGGAGAACAAAGAGCAGATCGACATCAGCAACGACTGCTGTGTTGTTTNGAAGAAGAAAAAGAAGTGGAGGAGCGACCCGGCGAGGAGAACAAAGAGCAGATCGACATCAGCAACGACTGCTGTGTTGTTTCTGTTGATGCTGTTGCCGCTGCTGCAGTGCACTAAGAGTAAATCGAGAACAGGCAAAAGGAAAACAAGTCACTGCCTCATCTCGGCCTCTTTGCCTGTTTTTCTTCTCCGCTGATTGCTTGCCCTGTCGCACTGCTGCCTCCCCTGTGCTCCAATCTAATGACGCCGAGTGAGTGCGCCATGATGGCGCCCACCCGTTCAGCGGCTTACAGCGACAGGCAGGAGGAAAGAGACAGCAGCAGCAGCTGCAGCTGCAGAGCCCTCCGAGCGCCCATCCCAGCCCGACAGCCCAGCCACCGGCCGATGTCGACGAACGAATTCAAGGTGAGCGAGATATAGAAAGAAAGTGCTTCACTCGCTACTGCTCCTGCCGCTGACAATCGACACAGCGCCACAGACGACACTCCTCCGATTACGCTGTGGCGCCCGGTGAGCTGCTAGTCTCTCTCTTTCTCTTTCTTTCTTTCTTTTTCCCTCTCTACTACTGCTGCTGGCTTCACCAGAGAAGAGGACATAACTCCACCGGTACTTCTGCCTGACTGCCTCTGCCTAGCAATCTACTGCACCACTGCCTAATCTCCATTTTGGCCTCATGACAAAACATGAAACAGTGCCGATGCTTACTGCACTCTGAACAGACCAACTAACAGACATTCTAGGCCTACAGAAGAAGAAGGGGGCTCGAGTTGCCGGAGAGCTGCAAAACTAGGAGGCACCAATGACAAAGTGGAAGCATCTTTGTGTCACTTTTAGCCCCCAACTCCTTTCCCTTCCTCTGTCGATAAGCAACTAAGCAAGTCGAATAAATATTTGATTTTCTCGGGTTCATAGTTCCCTTTGGTATTTGTCACGTAGTTTGGGAGAATGGCAGAGGCGCATAAAGAGGCACTTGCAATCCTGTTGATAGAAAAGCTGTACAGTGACTCTCCTACATGCTTCTGAGACAATAATGTTCAGACTATCGTTTTAAAAATAAAACAACGGATTTGTGATGCAAATGCGGTAAAAAATGCTGCAGTTACAACTCAAAAACAGTTTTTTCTTGATAAAAATAGCAAATAAAAAGTATACGATGCTTATGTCAGAATTTAAAACGCATCGAAACAACTGTATATGCCTGTAAAATGCTGCTAATCTCAATTGCCTTCAGTAAAGTGAGTCACTTTGCAACTTGAGTCATTGTCCAGTGCAGTAAAACTGTTTGCCTGGCGTAATTAGCAGTAACGGTTTGGAAAAGGAAAAAACAACAACAACGACCAAATGATTGTCTAAGATAGAGATTGAAAGAAAAAGAAAAAAGGGAGAGAGAAACTCTTTGGCTGACGAGGTAAGTAGAACGAGAAACAGTGCCGACGCTGTCCAGCAACAGCAGCAGCTCAATATAGACTACTTATTTTGCCGCTTACATTCATATTTTTGCTTCGTTTGCTCTCTTATCGTAGGCGCCGGGCCCGATTACGGGCATTGTGGCTGCAGGTTGGTTGGGAAAAAGCAGGCGAATGTGTGTGTGTGCACGGCAATTGGCTGGCGCCAGAGTTGACCTCAATTGAAGGCGCTGGCAGAAAGCAGAAAAAGAAAGGGAGAAAGACGCCGTGTGTGAGAGACCTCGTTAGAAACAAGATCGACTCAAGCCGGAGAGAGTGCAATCAGTTTTAGAGGTCAAGTACACGAAAAAAGGCAGCTTTGCCTGCTGCAGCGCTGAAGCAGCACCGGAGAGACTCGGTGCTTGAGCGATTCTGCCAATTGGGATCATCCAGTGAGGCGATGATCGACGGCTNGAAAAGGCAGCTTTGCCTGCTGCAGCGCTGAAGCAGCACCGGAGAGACTCGGCGCTTGAGCGATTCTGCCAATTGGGATCATCCAGTGAGGCGATGATCGACGGCTAATGTGTGCCTGCCAAGTGAGCGACGGCAGTAGGCGAAGGAAGGCAAAAAGAAAGCAAAAATAGACACCACTACTGATCGAGGTATCGATCGAGAAGGGAAATTGATGGGGCAAAGAACACAGCCAAGTGGGGAGAGGCACTAAATGCTTTCGATTGAACCTCCGCGCTGTACACAGAGCAATGCAGTAGACTTGGCTAGAATAGGGCAAGGAGAATAAGTGGCGGCAGTAGCGCTCCTGTTGCTGCAGGTTCGGTTGGGGAAAGTGAGTAGGTGGAAAGGTGAAGGGGCGAATTAATCAAAATCAGAAGGCAGAGGAAGTGAGGCACTGCTGCTGTTGCTATCGTTTTATGCAGAAAATGCCATTGACAATAGAGAGCAAACGAGAACGAAATCGGAACAAAGTGAGTACCAAGGACTCACTCGGTCTCGGGGTCGCCAGCAAAGTTTTGTCCCATTGAAATGGCCTTCAAAGAGACATCGACAAAGCCAGGCAGTGGTTTCCCTGGCCTTGTCTGCCCCCACTCACTCTCTCTCTCTCTCTCTCTCTCTCTTTCTTTCTTGTGACCTTTGACCAGCACTGCGCAATGTCTGTTCCTAACTTTGGCAGTGTCTCCTCTACTGCTCAACTACTGCCCTCTTCGCTTTTCCTCTTCTTCCCTTGCCCACTTGAATTGCGTCCGTGTATGCGTTGTGGCAAAAGTCAGTCAGTGTGCTGGCTATTATTGTTACGGAAGGGAGCGAGAGAGAAAGGAGGCTGAGGTCACGACCCCAATTCGGCGACTGCACTAAGTCAGGAGCAGCAGCAGCAGACACTGCAGCAGACTGAGAATAAACAGAACACGATACTGCCAAATGGGGAGAGCGAAAAAAGGCAAAGTGGGGCGACAGAATGTACTTCCATTTACTGCCCCAACATTTAACTACTGAAAGCATAATCTGAACATTGGCTCATTGCAGAAAAGTC